TTAGTTTTCTTCCTTTGGCTCTAAGAAGACAGAACCTGGGTAAGTTGTCATTAAACATTGATTTAATAATTAATTGAAATGTAGCTGTTAGCCTACAGTCTGTTTCCTGAATACAAAATGACCACATTTCTTCAAAATGCCCAGAGATGAATTCTTTGCAACTATTTTTGCATGAAATAAAGGATCACGAGTAAATCTAAATGATAAACTATAGTAACAAATCTAATTGTACAATTAAGAGATGATAACTGATCTGGCATAGTACCATCAGATGCTGGGAAAATTCATCCTGATCCTGGTAGGCAAAGGGAGGTATTCGCAACACATACTCACACACAATGCTAAAAGAGCATCCATCGCAAGCTTTATTTGGAATACTGTTAAGTATGAGGCCAGCCTGAAATTGGCTTTCAAAGGAGAATTAATAATGTTTTATGGGTCTCATTGAAATTCCAGATAAATGTTTGATTGACTATTTTTCTGTTGTATAGTCAGAATCTGTTTTTTTTGTTTGTTTGTTTGTTTGTTTGTTTGTTTGTTTGCTTTGTGTGTGTGTGTTGGGGGTGAGGTTTAAGACAGGATCTCATTCTGTCACTCAGGCTGGAGTATGTTGGCACAATCACAGCTCACTCTAACCTCTAATTCTTAGTCCCTAGAGAGCTTCCTGCTTTAGTCTTCAGAGCAGCTGGAGCACAGGTGTGCATGATCACAACCAGTTAATTTATTTTTATTTTTGTATTTTTGTATTTCTTTGGTAAAGACAAGTCCTCGCTATGTTGCCCAGGCTGGTCTCCACCTCCTGGAGAACTTTGTTATCACGGTTCTGATAAGAAATCAAGAGATCCACCAGTCTCAGCCTCCCAAAATGCTGGGATGACAGATGTAAGCCACCTTGCCCAGCCAGAAGTCTCTTTTAAAAAGAGAAAGGAGCATTTAGTCCAACTTTCTACTCCTAAACTTTGTCAGTGGTAGACTGTGAATGGGCACCAAGTGCTATTGACAAAAATGCCTTATTTGAAATGAAGTGGTAGTGACCTTATTTACTTCTTAATTTTTTATAATTCCCTCCTTAACTCTATCCAGGGCTTTAATCCTTTGAGTCCTTAAATTCCATTTTCTTCTAGAAAAAAAATCAATATTTAGAAGTTCTTGTATATGTGTGTTTTGCACACTTTTAACAGAAGAGAATCTTTTCTATATGAAAATGAGAATTATATCGACATGTATCTAGTCTAGTGTATAAGTGAGGCTTATGTTGTAGAGAAAAGAAGAATTAGAACTCTTTAATACATAATGGCATTAAATTAAGATTTTTTAAGCTTTCTTGATCAATTTATAGTCAGCTAAATGATGCCCCCAGCCCCAAATTTATATCTCCATGTCCTAATCCCCAGAACCTGTGAATGTTACCTTATATGGAAAAAAAGTGTCTTTGCAGTTATAACTAAGTTAAGCATATTGAAATAAGGAGATAATATTAGATTAGTTAGTGGGCCCCAAATCCCATAGCAATTGTCCTTAAAGGAGACACACAAAGGAGACAATGTGACCACAGTGGCAGAAATTAGAGTTGTGGGGCCACAAACTAAGGATTACCTGGAGCCATCAGAAGCTGAAAGATGTAAGGAAGCATTTTTGCCTGGAGCCTCTGGAGGGATCACAGCCCTGCTGACACCTTGATTTCAGACTTCTGGACTCCAGAACTGTGAGAGAATAAATCTCTATTGTTTTAAGACACCGGGTGTATGATAATATGTTACAGCAGCCACAGTAAACACAAGCTGGTTTTAATTTTGATGCTCTCCACATTACACAGGGGGTCCCTTTTCACTCTCTTGAATTACAAATTCTTTTAGGTCTGCTGTACCTATATTTATTCTCTGCATTTTTTCTTATATGCTGAATAACAAACAGGAATGATTAACACTCCTTTCTCAGTTGAACTGCAGCTACCAAGAAGCTCTATTATTGTTACAAAGAGGGGGTTCTGTGTTTTCCTTTCTTTACCTCTGCAGGTGATGCTCCAAGAGCCTGCCAGCAGGTCCCATGCTTTCCATTGACTTTTTCTACCTGGTCTTCCCTGGTCTGCTTTGCTTTGTCTGGTTGTGAATCAGAGTGGGGCTGGAACAGGAAATCTTGAGTCCAGCTGTCTTGCTCTTTCAACAAGCTGCCGTAAAATTTAATCATCATTAGTACACCTATGAGAATTAATCCATATTTGTTGTCTGGACAATGCACAGTTCTGATAATAAATAAGACATTTCAATCTTAAACCTTTTGAATGAGTACATTCTACAAACACATCATTTGTTTCAGAAATGGAAACATTTATGGTGACTGTTGATGCCTTCTAACAGTAAGTAGGATGCTTATATTCCACTCACTTAAGAAGCAAGTGTTCTCCTTCTGGTAGAAATGAACTAATTACTAGAAATATCTACATTCATACTTTGCTGAAAACACAAAACACTGAATAAATTCTGGGGGTTAGGTATCAGTAAGTGCCATATGATTACAGTGAATGAAAAAATGGGGGAGGAGTGCAGTTAGGGTAAGGAGCAGAGCAATTGATTTATTGACCTAAAAAATTTGGAGTGTTAGCTAACTTTCCAGTGGCCCTCAACCAGGTCTGTGACAAATTGATCCTATGGGTCATATCAGTCCACAGACATGTTATGTATGGTCTGAATTTATTCTTTCAAACCTGGATGAGAAAGGTAAAACTCATAATATCACACATTAAAATTCAAATTTATGGCTTTTTTTGGGCAAAATTGGAAAGTGTGGGAATACTGAGCCCACATCCTCAACTGATTGATAATCAGTGAACAATCAATCAGTGGAGAACTATGAGGTATGCACTCTTATTGACATTGCAGTTTTCATAATTCCTTTCATTAGGGACCTCCTTAAATCACATTGTTCCTTATAATATGAGACATTAAAATCCGTTCAAAGCCTCTGTAATTCTGATTTCTATTTTAGTTTCCTACTCATTAAATAAGTCATTTTCAAATGTCATATATGAAATTAGGTAAAAAAATATATATTTCCTGGGAATGCCTTGTTCACATGGAATCATCTCAGTTATTTACAATATTATTGAAGGTGATTTTATTTTGCATTTAAAAGAAACATTATGATTTCCCATACTTATATTCATTTGGCTCATTACATTATTAAAACAACAGTGCTAAAATATTATAAAACTATGTAAATTTCCCTCTTAACATTGTGCATTTTTTATCATATGAGATTGACATATCAACTGCCAATTAATCTAGATAAATGTTTGTTTCCATGTGTTTAAATATTTCTGATATTTGGCTTCTTAGTTCCTAAAACATTGATTTGCTGACTCAAAAAAAAAGCTTTTATTTTTAAAATTGTAATAACTTTATGTATTGAAAGGTTGCTGCAAATTATGTAAATATCTTCTTGTTTTCTGGTAACCTAAATCATTTCTACCCAAACGCTATGCACTAATATGGTGGACACCAACTTGGAGAGTTGGCTACTACATTCTAGTGCTGTTGTAGTAGTTGTGGTGGTTGTTACTGTTTCTAGATTAAACAGATTCTCTTCTTCCTCTGTGTTTCATTATCCCAGTTTAAAACTATAGCATAAGATGACATCACAGTATTGAACTAGACAACTGATTATGATTGCAAAGGGCAGGAACTAAGAAATCAAATGAAGGAACTGAAGAGGCAGGAAATAAATATAAAGGTTCTATTTTTGGTAAGCATTCCTTGAATTTATTTACAGACATGTTATGTCATCTTTTTATTGCTTTATAATAACTCAATTTAGATATTAAATTTCTTTCTTTTTTTTTTTTTAAAGATTGGGTTTCACCATGATGGCCAGGCTGGTCTTGAGCTCCTGACCTCAGGTGATCCACCCATCTCGGCCTCCCAAAGTGCTAGGATTACAGGCGTGAGCCACAGCGCCCGGCCAGATGTTAAATTTTTAATGGAAAATATGATGTGATGTGTTTTTATTCTTATATTCTTCCTAGGCACATAACAGGAATTCCATAATGTTTACTGAATAGTAGTTAAATATGAATTAACTCAAAGGTAAAAGAATAGACTGTATAAATATGTAAGCGCCTGAAAGGGTGGCTAAATAAATGTATAATTGTTCACAGGTTCCCACTGATCTCTGAACATGTAACTGGCCATCTCATGACTATGGATGCAACATTTGCTCCAGCCTGCTCTTCAGCCTTGTATCATTTGTCCCTTCACTTACTGGCCTCTGGCTCCACTCATGACCTTCAACACGCGGCACTTCTTTCCACCTTGCAGTCCTTATTTCTTTTCCCTGGAAAAATATTCCCATATTACTTAGTATGTATGGCTCTTTCCCATTTTCCAGGTCTTAGCTTGCCTATTACCCTCTTAGAGAGCTCTTCCTTGATCACCTCACCCTATATATAGTGAGATTATCCAGCTCCTCCCCAATTTATTACTTCACAATTTTTTTCTTCCTAGAATTAATATAGCCAGTAGTTATACTGCTCACTTAATTATTTTCTAGCTTATTGTCAGTCTTTTAGATATGAGGCTGCAAAACCCTTAAAGAGCAATTTTCTCTTATTCATCTCTGAATTTGCAGAGCCTGCCACACTACCACTGAATTAGTAAAATAATAAAGGGTGAGTGAATAATAAAATCACAAAACAGGCTATACCTATTGCCTCTTAATGATAGATTTTATTGTATTCTGAGGAGTGTGTGTGTGTGTGCGTGTGTGTGTGTGTGTGTGTGTGTGTGTTTTCTAATCCTCAAAGAAGTAGTTGCCTTTGGAAACTGTTTTTATTTTCCTCAGTTATTTTCCTATATCGGGTAAAAGGCTCTTTGCCATTATGGGTTTAGATATGTTCTGTGGTCTTCAAATATGAATGTTTTACATAACTCATTATTAGAATTTTAATAAAGTAAAATGACAATCAGAGGGACTAGAACAAAGACAATAACAAATACTACACCTCATCCATGATTGTCTTTTAATGTCATCCATACAAACAGAGTTTTAAAAGCTTACTTAAAATATAGAAACACATTTGGCACAGGGAAAAAGGTGTGGGTTAGGTGGTAGTTATAGGTCTATAACTAATTAGCTGTTAACTCTGAGCAAGTCACTTAACCACTCTGAGTGTTGGTTTCCTTATTTGTAGAAGTGAAGGTGAATAATTAGGTCAATGGCTTTCCAGCTGTGCGCTGTTGAAAGTTGTGCGCTGCAGTGGAGTGTGAGGTGTTCCCTTCCAAAACCCACACCAGTCAGAAAAACTCTGCTTTTAGCCAGTTTCCACATTGAAGCACTAAATACAATTTGATTTTTAAAATGAGTCTCATGCTTTAGAATATTTGAAATCCACCAGAGTGGGTTTCCAATGTCTCATAACTTTTTGATACTATGAAAAATTATGAATTCAATATTTACAAGATTTAATTGAAAACCCACTGTACAGAAGACACTATGCTAAATACTAGTAGATGAAGACTGTACCCAGTTAGTTTAAAATCTAACCTATAGCCTGTAGCCATATTTGTAACCATAATTCAAAGAAAATGTATTTTTAAAGTTCATACCAGTACATAAGCACAGATCTATAAAGGTCAGAGTAGGGGAAGTTCTGGGAATGTGTGTACGTGTGTGTGTGTGTGTGCGTGTGTGTGTGTGTGTATTTACATATACATGTTACATATGAATAGATTTATACATAAATGCATTGTAGAATATATGAATATATATTCATATGTAACAAAGATAACAAATATACAATATTATATGCAACAAATATATACACATAACATATTTGTATGTACCCTGGATGTAACAAATTGATGAAAAATTCACTAGATACGTGTCTAGCTAATGTGTGGAACTTTCATCTTTTCTCATATTCTACTGAAACACAATGCTGTTATGCTATTAATAATGAGATTTGACACATGGGATCATAGTGTGCTAATCCCTGACATATTCAGTCACAAATAATTCTTATAAATTAATTCAAAGGTAAAAAAACTGTTTTTCCAACAAAAACGGAAAGGTTTTTTTTAATTGTAAATATTACCCAAAAAATGATATTAAAATTCTCCTCTTCAAGGTTTTATTTATGGAATTAAAACAGAAATGTGTTCTAATTTACCATATCACTGGTCTTTGTAAAATGCAGTATTTAAACTGCTATTATCATAATTCAATACATGAAATTTATTTTATGTCATGAACTTCATCCTCACAAAAAATATTGGGTATCATTTCCATTGGACAAATCCCAATGAATAATGGTTGTCTAAGCATGTAATTTTAAATTAATTATTTGACTAATATTTGATATTTAAATGTTTTTACCATGACTGACTTAACAAGTTAGGTCTTTTTTGATGTTGGGGAGCGAACGAGAATCCATGAACCAACTTAATTCAGAGTAATGATGAATTCAAGAGCTGTGGGTATCACAAACCACTAAGATGTGATTTACCTGAAGCTACAACCCAAGCTTGAATTCTCAACTCAGATAAAATGTCATTTGCACATTTTATTCATTTTGTAAAACTTAATAACTGCCAATTCTTAAAAATATGGTATTGGCTCAAGTGGAAACATTCACTGTTATAAAATAACTTCTGAGTGTACAAATCGATTTTCTTAAAGGTGTCTCCTTCGTGTGTATGAGAGGCAATGTCATTTTGTGGAAAAAAAGTACTGAACAGGAAATAGCAGACTTGATTACCAATCCCAACACACTGTAAATCAACTAGCTCTAAACAAATTAGTTGACTGGAACTCCTTAATTCACACTTCAATAATACAGGGACAATACTTCTGACATGTACTATGATTATAACTTTGTTAATAACTGTGAAGCCTTGTAAATGATTAAGTACTACATAAATCTGACAGAGAGGTAATTTCACTTTCAAAGCCAAGAAAGGCTTTAAACATTGATGCTTCTAAATTGTGGGTTAAAATTTTTATTTAATTTTTTTTATTTTTGCAAGAGACACAAGAGTCCTTTTTAAAATAATTATTTCATTATGTTTTCGGTCCTTCCCTTCTTTGTCATACTTGGCTTCAGCCTGTTTAAGCTGATTGAGTAGGCATTTAAGAAAGTTCAACACTTTGAAATGTAAGTATAGTGCAATTGGACTCTACATACATATTTTCATCAAAACATTTTACAGGGATCTCAGCACTAAGTATGCAGAGATGGGACAAAAATCACAACAGGCAACTTTATTTTAGAATTTGATCCATAAATCAACAAAATAAATAAATAAAAGGAGCAGAGTCTCTATCATGTTAGCACACAAAATAAACAACAAAAAAAATACATCAACGTTTACCATGAGATCACTTAAATGTATTTGCAAATGATCTGATAAGGGAAACATGATTTACAACACGGGAAACTTCTTTTAACAACCATTGACTTAAACACACTGCACTGTAGGTCACCTAGACAAGGTTAGCAAGAATGAGCAAAGTGGTGGGTCCAAAAGGCAACCTCCAAACACCTTCCTCAGATGGAAACTTTGGTAATTGTCTGTGGTTAAAAAAGGAAAACAAACAAACAAACAAAATAAAACAAACCACCAATTCCTATTCTTAATCACGTTGGATGGTCATTTTGTCCATTCTTCTGCGATGAGTCCATTTTAAACACTTCAATTATTCTGAAGACACTCCAAATCCACAGAACAACAGACTCTTCCATTCTGTACATCAAAGAAACGCACGTTAGCCAGCTGAGACACAGAATATAAATTAATTAGCAGTCTGCAATTTTTATACTCACAATAACCCTCTGCATTTTGAGACAAACTTCAAGAAGGCTATAAAAAATGACTAGAAAATAATGCTAGGAAAAAAACTAGAGAAAGAGTAGGAAGGAAAGACCAACAGACCCTCCAGGGTACTGCTTGGCAGAATTCTGTTAGCAGTGCAATTTCACGCACCACCTGCTCTCAGTCCCTACTTGGGACACCTCCCTGGGATTTTCACCTCTTCACACAACCTGTTTGCTGTACTTATTCCAAGTGAGATTTTTTTTCCAAAAATAAATCCCTAAAATATAGCAATTTGTCATTTAAGAAGCTATTTGAAAGTACCCCCAGCAAGTTGCAGGCAAGTCCAAGATGGGTTCCAGTAAGGTTTACATAAAGTCTCTCATGGTGACTATGAAGGGGATAGTGCATAGTTAGGTATATAAATACTTATACATTCATTAAAATTTAATTTCATATACTAACATAAATATGCCTTTACAATTCCACTTAATGATGAAATAAAATAAATAATAGAGGTCTCCATGTCTCCTGGTCATTTAGTTCTCTGAGGCTGATGGTACAGATGGGACCATGAACCTTTTTCAGTATGAGGCCTAATATTATCCTTTTTCTACTGGGGCTACATCTTAAGATGATACTTTCCAGGAAAAAGAAAAAAAATCTACATTTATAACAGCATAAAGAAGCAAGTTGGGAACCTTCCACTGATGCTTGATGCTGAGCCAGGGTTTGATGGGACCAAGTAGACTCCTAGTTTTAACATGTTTAATCATGAGAATCTTAAACAGATGTTTTGGCAGAGACTTGAAATTAACTAATGATTATTCCAAATCAGCTACCACTCCAGCTCTTCATGAACTTTTAAGGGAGAGAATGGTCAGCTTTTTAATCTCAATGACATATGAGGATGTCTCATGAAAACTCCAAAAAAGAAGGGAAATAATCACTGTTAATCAAATGCTACAGGAAGAGTTAGAGGTCCCCAACTTAGGCAATCTGATGATTAAAAAAAGCAAACAGCTTGAGAGGAGTTTTTTCCCTAACATTCACAATTTAATAAAAGAACTTAGAAACTTTTCCAGGATGAAAGGAAGTTGACTGGTTTGTTTCCTTCCTTCCTTCCTTCCTTCCTTCCTTCCTTCCTTCCTTCCTTCTTTCCTTCCTTCCTTCCTTCCTTCCTTCTTTCCTTCCTTCCTTCCTCCCTCCCTCTTCCCCCCACCTTCCCTCTTTTCCTCCTTCCCCTCCTTCTTTCCTTTCTTTCTCTTTCCCTTCCCTCCTCTTTCCCTTTATTTATTTTTTCTTTTTATTTAACATACAGGTCAAAAGAGCCTCTATCAGCCATAATTCAGCCTAGACTCAATTGTCAAAATTCTGTAGTTTAAAGGGAGAAGCAATTATTTTCTTTCATGCTCATTTGGAATTTGCCTTTTTATAGGGTGCAGCTATGATATATTCAGACACATTAAATTCCTATGAGAAGTAAATGTTTTCCAGAGTTTCCACCATGTCCTATTGAAACGTGCATTCAGAAACATCAGGAGTGGACCTCCTGCAAGAGTTCTCTGGCAATTGTTCAAGGCTTCAGTATCCTCAGAACATCCAACTACCTTGCATTTGCAGGTCGTGCAGGGAGATCCAGCCATCGTCCACACTGAGCCACTAAGCCTTGAAATGCCATAGCTGTCCAGGCAAGTTTTTCTGATGTCATAGGCGATGTTATCAGCTAGGCAGGGGTCACTGACACAGCGGGGACAACACTCCCCATCTAAGATGGCTGTATACTCACAGCTCAAGTTGGGGCAAGTGAGTGGCCAGCAATCTACCTCTCCTTCCTGCAGAGGAAAAGCAAAAAAAAAAAAAAGAGGCTCATTATTGTTCCTATGTATAATTTTATTCTGAAAGTCACATAAGGGGAAAGAGAGCACAGTAATTCTTATCACTGAATGTTTCTAGTTGACACCATTATGGATATAATACACTTCCTCCTTGAAGAACTACTACAGTTCGCACTTCTTTCAGAATGCTTTTGCTGACCATCTATACTGCAGTGCACAGAAAGAGTTAGGTCAGTTTCTTTGTGTGCCAAGCATGGCCTATAATTATTTTAACTTGATACTTATAATCACATCATAATTATCAATACAATTCTATATTAATTTTTGAACATTCAGTCTTTGGGCTTGTTCCTTTCTCTCCATCATGTTTAGCACAGTTTTGGTCAATAACAGCTAATACATAAATGAATTACAAGATACTGGCTAGTATATAAAGAGCAATTTCCATGGACACAGGGAGGGGAACATCACACACTGGGGACTGTTTCGGGGTGGGGGGCTAGGGGAGGGACATTAGGAGAAATACCTAATGTAGATGACAGGGTCATGGATGCAGCAAATCACCATGGCACGTGTATACCTATGTAACAAACCTGTACGTTCTGCATATGTACCCCAGAACTTAAAGTATAATAAAAAAAAAGAGTGATTAATTTATATTAAGGTCAAAAGCAGAACCTGAAGCACTGTCATATTTCAGTCAAATTTAAAGTTAATACTGAGCCATGTCAGGAGAACCATTTCAGAATGGTTTTGAATGTCACATGTGATTAGTGAACTTTCTAGATTGCAGTTCAAATGGAGTCTCTGTGTGTCTCAGCATCCAGCACCTGTGGCTTCACTGAGCTGTCCACAATAAAACTATTTCCCTATGCATCCTCTTCCTCTGCTATTACGAATTATAATCTATGGCATTATAATGCATGGTAACTTGTTTAATTGTTCAGTCATCTCCATAAGACTATGGGCTTTGTGTAGGTATAGGCCACATCTGTCCTTCTCACTGTTACATCCTACAAAGTCTGGCACATGCAAAGTCTTGAGGAATATTTGTTATGTATGGCCCACATTATTCTCAAGTAATTCAAAAGTTATATGTTTAACAGCTTCAGTTTTCCTGAGAAATATTCATCTTAGGGGCTGGGATGGAAGAGGATATACCTTTGAAATTTTATCTATGAAAATTTCATGCATTAAATTAATACCAATTCTTCTGGCTGCCTGATGATTAGCTTCTTGGAAAAGAAATGCAATTTTCCAGTCTCATAAGGAAATTAATTCTATAGTTGTACTGATTTGTTTTTCCTTGAGTGGGAGTTTTAAAAAATGATTACAATTTTTATTTATCTGAGTTATACTTCTCAGTAATAGGAGTGATTAAGAAAGATATTCTGTTAAGATTATCTGAACATTCACCTGAATATTTTTAAAAATCTGATGAAAATTTAGAGCATAATTTCTCTGAAAGCTTGTTTTCATATATTACACATAGACTGAGAATCATTAATTCATTTCAGCAAATGTTAAACTTTTAGATACCCAGCTAATAGTTTCCATTACAAATCAACTCAGAATGTTCCATAGTTGTGACTTTACATATGGGACATCACATTCCTAAGACAATGTGTCCTATAAGTCTTCCTATTGCTACAAATCTTTGTGATATAATTTGAAACTGAAAGAACCAGGTCCAGAAATTAAACCTTTTCTCTGGACTTTCTCAAATCTAATTATACCCTTAGTAGCCCTATATTAATGGGCTTTGTGTAGGTATAGGCCACGTCTATCTTGCTCACTGTTAGTTACATCCTACAAAGTCTGGCACATGCAAAATCTTGAGGAATATTTGTTAAGTATGACCCACATTATTCTCAAGTAATTCCAAAGTTACGTGTTTAATAGCTTCGGTTTTCCTGAGAAATACTCATCTTAGGGGCTGGGGTGGAAGAGAATATACTATAACAACATTCATTTCTTTTCTTTTTAAACATGTAGTATCTGAAAAGATTTTCCAAGGTAGGAAGTATTAAAAAAAGCCACTACCACACACTAAGTACCTTCTCTGAGCCAAGTACTGTATTTGTCCTTAATATGTATCTTGTGATCTTTGTAACAGCCCATTCTTCCTCTCAGATGTACTCATACACCCCTGTCCACTTGAGGGAAAGAATAACCAGTAAAATGCTAGGACTAGCCCAAGTTAATCATGTAGAGCTAGCATGTGGGTGGACCAGGTTTAGATTCTAGGTCTCTATGATTAAATCTGTGATATTTATACTATATTTTGTTACCTCTTATATTGAAATTTTTAAGGGTTATGGCATAAGAAATGAAAGATTTAGCTCTGTCAGGACTACAAGTACTAGTCAAGGTTTTAGAAGCTTCCTTTCTTGCAGAGATTTTTCCTGATCTTGATTTCTTATTAGTAATAGCTGTAAACTGTCATTGCTTGGGACAAATCTGTACCACAAATATGTGCTTTTTACTTTGTACAGTGTTTCAAATAAAACCTGAATGTCTTTAGGCAGAGAACATGCCCCTTAGCCACAGACCCCACAGAGTTACCTGTATAGTATTATGAAATATGGGAAACTAGATCCCACAGACAACTGAATGTGTAACCCCTTTCAGAGTAAAGAAAGGCTCAACACGCTGCAAAGGAAGCCAACATACCAGACACCGACACTGCTGACAGCTATGTGTCCAATTGTCTCCACTTCGATACAGCTTGTGACCATTTTGGTCTAAACATTGACTTGTGACCCTGGTGTCACATTCTGGGCAACAGAAAAGGTCAGCATTTGGATTCTGGCAATCACAAGCTGTCCGTCGGCAGAATATCTTGCCATCCTGTTTAGAAATGAAGTAAAGGAGGTTTCATCATTTAGGACATGATGGACAGCTACACTATGAGAACCAAACTTCTTCTTGTCTTAGTCATCCCCGGCCACCTCTCACTCTGTTCAAAACTGAAGCACGCATGTGTGCTCACACAAACATACCCTCTCTTTCCCTGACTTTGCCTGCAGAGCAGAAAAAATAAAAATAGAAACATTTCTAAGTTTAACAAAAAGTCAATACGTTTTTAAAAAATATTTTTCAAAAGGGTTCTTAAAAATCATATTTCTGGCCAACAAGGTGGCTCATGCCTGTAATTCCAACACTTTGGGAGGCTAAGGTAGGTGGATCATGAAGTTAGGAGATCAAGACCATTCTGGCTAACATGGTGAAACCCTGTCTCTACTAAAAATACAAAAAATTAGTCAGGCATGATGGCACATGCCTGTAGTCCCAGCTATTTGGGAGGCTGAGGCAAAAGAATCACTAGAACCCAGGAGGCAGAGGCTGCAATGGGCGGAGATAGCGCCACTGCACTCCAGCCTAGGTGACAAAGAGAGACTGTCTCAAAAAAAAAAAAAAATCATATTTCTAAGTAAGAACTATAAGCAAACTAAGCAGCTAAAAATGCATATAATGATCAATAACTCATTTGAGTGGAAAATCATGCTCCTGTATTTCCATGATACCACTTAACATATTCAAATGCGTTTGTCTAATTACACTCCTGCCCTAACTGTGAAAGGAAGTCTGATTATACACTTTATACAGAAGAATTAACTTAGGCCCAGCAAGGTTAAGCCACTTATCCAAGATGAGATAGGTAGGTAGTGGTTTTCCAAGCAGCACCACCAATGGTTATGGTTTCAAAATATTTTTCTTCTGCAAGATCACCTTAAGGTTGTGTATTAGAGGGGGTTATAATCAGGTGCCTCCTTCGACCTTATGGAAGTTTTCCATATTGTAAGCACAGTACAGTTTTTGGAGTATTGGCTCTGAGGACTCATAGTTAGAAAAAATTGAAAATCAACAGCACTTAAGCAGTAAGACTACACATTTTGCAGCATGTCTTTGTTTTTATATGTCTATTGCTTATAGTAATTTATTAAACAATGTTCTTCATTGCTGAAAATGTAAGGTAAGAACTGTCATCGATGACCCTTCCTGGTCATAACTAATTTGTTGAATATTTTAAAAAACCATAGAGTCTCAGGGCTGGAAGGTACCTTAAAGAACATATAACCAAATCTCCTGACCTACCGTTGAATCCTCTTTATAGCAGCCATATACAAAAGTGTTCCAGTATGTGCTTGAGGCTCTCCAGTCTTGAATTCACCAATATGGAGAGAATTCAGTGTGCATCTCTGTACATGTCGGAATGCAAAAATCAGACTTCTCATGACTTCTATCCATTGATCTGAATTCATACTTTTGGTAATAATAGAACTCCCAACACTTTCTGTCATATTTCAATTCTTAAGTTTTTAGAAGACAGTTGTTAAGTATTCACTGAGATGTTTCATCTCTAGGTAAACATCTCTAATTTCTTAACCAGTCCCCATTGTTATAATCCTATCACTGTCACGGTTGCCTTATCTTTCAAAAGCTTTATTTACAATAATCATCATCGTCATCCACCATAAATTTAATACTTACCTTCTGTTACACATTGTGCAGAGACATTTATATATATGATCACATTTAATCCTGATAATTTGTGGAATATGAATGTATATCTCTTTCTCAAATGAGGTAGCTGAGAGTTAGAGAACTAAGTATAATAATTCAGTAATGGTCTTTGAAGAAAGAGCGATTGAGTCTCACGGTCACTTTGTATTAAGCACTTTATTTTCTTTAATGCAGGCTTTTTTCAATGAAGTCATATGCCACACAATGAAATTTTGGTCACTCTCATACTACACATACAAATGTGGTCCTATAGAATTTTAATGAACCTGAAAAATTCCTGTCACCTAGTGACATCACAGCCATTATGTAGCGCAATGTATTACTCATGCATGTGTTTGTAAGAATGCCTGTGTTAACAAGCCTACTCAGCTGCCAGTTGCATAAAAATATAGCACCTACAGTCATTTATAGTACATACTACTTGATAATGATTATAAATGGCTGGGTTACTGGTTTATGTATTTAGTATACTATCCTTTTTAATCATTATTTTAGAATACATTCTTTCTACTTATTAAAAAAAAAAAAAAAAAAAAAAAAGGAGAGATAACTAAAATGGCCGCAGGCAGGTCCTCAGGAGGGGAGATAACTAAAATGGCCGCAGGCAGGTCCTCAGGAGGGGAGATAACTAAAATGGCCGCAGGCAGGTCCTCAGGAGGTATTCCAAAAGAAGGCATTGTTATCATACGAGATGACAGCTCTGTGCATGTTACTGTCCCTGAAGACCTTCCAGTGGGATAAGACATGGAGGAAGATATGGAGGTGAAAAACAGTGATATTGATGATCCTGACCCTGTGGAGACTTAGGTTAAGGTGTGTGTTTGTGTCCTAGTTGAAAAAAAAAATTAATAAATTTTTAAAAATTAAAAATTGAAAAAGCTTCTAGAATAAGAGTATAAAAATATTGTACAGCTGTGTAATGTATTTATGTTTTAAACTGTTATTAGAAAAGAGTCCAAAAGTTACAAAAATTTAAAAGCTTATAAAGTAAAATAGTTACAGTAAGCTAAGGTTAATTTGTTATTGGAGAAAAAACTTCTTTTTCTAAATTTAGTGTTGCCCAACTACACAATGTTCATAAAGTATACAGAAGTGTACAATAATATCCTAGGCCTTTACATGCAGCCAACATTCACTCACCGACTCACCTACAGCAACTTCTAGTCCTGTAAGTGCCATTCATGGCAAGTCTTCTATACCGGTGTGCCTTTTTTTTTTTTTGTCTTTTATATGTATTTGTACTGTACCGTCTCTATGTTTAGATATACAAATATTTACATATTATTTATTAATATGTAACATATTATTACAAAATGTTATGATTGCCTACAATATTCAGTATAGTATCATGATATACAGGTTTATAGCCTAGAAGCAATAGACTATATCATATAGCCTAGCTGTGTTGTAAGCTATGCCATCTAGGTTTGTTTAAATATACTCTATGATGTTGACACAATGATGAAAAAGCCCTAATGACTTATTTCTTTATCCTTGTCATTAAGTGATGCATTACTGTATTTACTTTCTTTAGTTATGCCATAGTGTTGGCTTATACTGAGCTTAATCAAGATTAAAGCCTCCTTAAGCCCTATCCCATCTTGTGCAGTTTAGGGGCAGCAAATATATAACTTGATGTTTATCTCTGTTGCATTTCATATTGTTAGATCCATTTCATCTCTTCTGCCTGTCACAATGTTTTGTAAATGCTATTTCTGTCATCTACCATAGATCACCCTCCTTCACAGCTTAGTGACATCTGAAAACTTGATGGACTTGCCCTCAGGGTCTTTATCTACTTCATCCATAACAACGCTGAATAATCAGACAGGGCTTGCTGAGATGTTCAGTGTCTGCTAAAGTGGAAACCTTAAAAGCTTTATATTCTTTAAGAAGAATGGAAAGGAAACATACTGGCTACAATATAATAACAGGTTGAAAATGCATTGTGTGCATTGGCTCTTTTACTATAAAAATAACAAGAAATCGTGGTGTTTCAGAAATATCAAGAGATGAAAGCTTACACATACACACATATACATTTACATATGTAGGCAAACGTGTGTATATATAGAGAAAGCAAGAGACTAGATTTTAGCAAGTGAATGGAATCAGAGAATTCAGCTAGTCAGAGCAAGGAAGTGTTCTGATTCTAGGAATTTCCCAAAAATTGGCCCTTGGCTTACAGCTCATATACCATTATTTTAACTCACCAATATATTTTGCTTGTGTTGTCATGGCCCCAAATGACTCCCTGAAGACTTATTTTAACCAACAAAAACTAAACAAAGTAATGATAGCTACAACATGAAGCCATTTGATCAGCTCAGCTTCCAATGGCACACTGTCACTCTTCTCAAGTGTAGAAGGATCATGCCTCGGGAACCAGCATGGCTGGGTCTGTGGCTGGCATCAAACAAAGGGATAAATTCTTACCGCACAAGATGCTATGACACCCAATAAGAATGTCAGTTGTCTTCCCACGTGCTGATTAAAAGAATAAGAATAAATGGATAGCCTCCAGGGTTTGTGCAAAATAAAGCAATTTCACATCTCATCAATTATGTGAAAATGCCAAGTAGGCCCCTCTTAGCTTCTAACGTGTTTCAGAACAATGGCTATGTTCACTTTGCCTTTGAATTACAGGGTGACTGTCAAGAAAATCATTTTTAATAATGAAAATGTCACAGGTGGCTCCATTAATACAATGAGAATGCCATTATAAAACCTCAGCTCACAGAGCACAACCACTCTAGAAACTACATTTGGGAAGAGTATGGAGACCACTGACAACAAGCATCCTTTTTGGCATAGATCTTTGAGGCTATTCCCAGAGCTTGACCTCTATGCCCACTTGGGTGATTTGAACATTCCCTACTTATATGTCAAAGATATATTTTCCCAATCTTCTGCCACAAAAACTGTTTTTATGCAATTTTGTACTATAAGTTCAATGACAAGCAATTAATAACTATTGTAATAATCGCTTCTGAATTTTAAAAAGTGACATAATTTTTTCCTATCAAATAAATCATACATTGTTTCTTATTATGCCATGGAAAACTATAGATGTTTTTGCTATTAATTACAGATTTTAATATGGAATAGTCAACACACTGATATATTTACTCCAGATTACATAATATCACTCTTGTTTTTTTCTGCCATAGTGTTTTGTAACTTTCAAATCAAGAAAGTGGACATAGGTCAGATTATTTCTATAAATCAAATAGGTCAGATTATTTCTGTAAAATAGTAATATAAACTTTGGGTTGGAAAACTGATGACCACAGTCCAAACTCAATCTGATGCCTGCTTTTGTA